AGAGAAAATTGGGCAAAAACCCGGACGTGGACACGAGCTTCCTGCCAGACCGGGACAGGGAGGTCAGGGGGGCCCAGGGGGGTCTGGGAGAGGATTTGGGGGGGCCCAGGGGGGTCCCAGGGGGTTTTGGGGGGCCCAGGGGGGTCCCAGGAGGTGTTGGGGGGGGTGTTGGGGCTTTGGGGTTTTTTTGGGGCCCTTTGGGGTCGGTTTGGGGGCGTTCTTGGGCTGTTCTGGGGATATTTGGGGCGTCTCGGGTGGTTTTGGGGGGGCTTTAGAGGACCGGGGGTGTTTTGGGGGAGTTTGGGGCATTTCTGGGGGTGGTCTGGGGAGTCTGGGGGTGGTTCAGGAGCAATTTGGGGTCGGTTTTGGGCTATTTCTGGCGTGTTTTGGTTATTTTGGGGTCATTTTGGGGGTGGTTTTGGGGCGGTTTTGGGGCGGTTTTGGGGTGGTTTTGGGCAGTTTGGGGCGGTTTTGGGCAGTTTGGGTGTTTTGGGGCAGTTTTGGGGCGGTTTTGGGGCGGTTTTGGGGCGGTTTTGGGGCGGTTTTGGGTGGTTTTGGGGCGGTTTTGGGGCGTTCTGGGGTCTCAGCCCTGCCCCCCAGGAGGAGGAGAACCGGCTGCGGGAGGAGCTCAGGCAGGAGTGGGAGGCCAAGCAGGAGAAGATCAAAAGTGAGGAGGAATTTGGGGAGGTTTGGGGGGTTCTGGGGCGTTTTGGGGGAAGTTTGGGAGGGCCTGGGGTGGTTCTTGCCGTGTTGGGTCAGATTTTGGGGTTCCTGGGCCACTTTTGGGGCTCTTTGGGGTCATTTTGGGGTTTCTGGGGGATCCCTGCATCATCTTTGGGGTCCCTGGGTGGTTTTTTCTGTCCTTGGGGTCATTTTGGGGGTCCCTGGGTCGATTTTTGGGGTTTGAGGGTAATTTTGGGGTGATTTTTGGGGTTTGAGGGTAATTTTGGGGTGATTTTTGGGGTTTGAGGGTAATTTTGGGGTGATTTTTGGGGTGCTGTTCCCAGATGAGGAGATCGAGATCACCTTCAGTTACTGGGACGGCTCCGGGCACCGGCGCACGGTCAAGGTGGGCCTGGGGGGTTTGGGGGTCCCAGGGGGAATTTGGGGGGTCCCAGCTGGGGTCTGGGGGTCTGAGATGAGATTTTTGGGGCCTGGGTGGGAATTTGGGCTCCTGGGGGGCGATTTGGGTTCCCAGGTGAGTTTTGGGGTGCCCAGGTGAGTTTTGGGGTCCCCAGGTGCGTTTTGGGGTGCCCAGGTGAGTTTTGGGGTCCCCAGGTGAGTTTTGGGGTGCCCAGGTGAAGTTCTGGGGTGCCCAGGTGAGTTTTGGGGTCCCCAGGTGAAGTTCTGGGGTCCCCAGGTGAGTTTTGGGGTTCCCAGGTGAGTTTTGGGGTTCCCAGGTGAGGTTTTGGGGTCCCCAGGTGAGTTTTGGGGTTCCCAGGTGAGTTTTGGGGTCCCCAGGTGAGTTTTGGGGTTCCCAGGTGAGTTTTGGGGTGCCCAGGTGAAGTTCTGGGGTCCCCAGGTGAGTTTTGGGGTGCCCAGGTGAGTTTTGGGGTGCCCAGGTGAGTTTTGGGGTGCCCCTGCCCCTCTCCCCCCAGATGAAGAAGGGGAACACGATGCAGCAATTCCTGCAGAAAGCGCTGGAAATTCTCCGCAAGGATTTCAGCGAGCTCCGGTGAGGGGGGGCCCGGGGGGGTCCCAGGGGAGTTTTGGGGTTCAGGGGAGGGGTCTCGGGGTCCCTGGGTGGGGGTGGGGGGTGCTGGGGGTCCCTGGGGATGTTCTGGGGGCAGTTTCGGGGTCCCTGAGCCGTTTCCCCGCAGCTCGGCGGGGGTGGAGCAGCTGATGTACATCAAGGAGGATCTGATCATCCCCCACGTGAGCCCCTCCCCCACCCCTCAGCCCCTCCCCCACTGACCCCGCGCCCCTCCCCCGCAGCACCACAGCTTCTACGACTTCATCGTCACCAAGGCCCGCGGGAAGAGCGGTGAGTGACGTCATCGCTGGGGCTGTGACGTCATCGCCGGGGCTGTGACGTCATTGTTGGGTTGTGACGTCATCGTTTGGGCTGTGACGTCATCGTTGGGGTTGTGACATCATCGTTGTGGATGTGATGTCATTGTTTGGGCTGTGGTGTCATTGTTGGGGCTATGACATAATCGTTGGGGTTATGATGTCATTGTTGGGGATGTAACGTCATCATTTGGGGGCTGTGACGTCATCGTTGGGGCTGTGACATCATCGTTGGGGCTGTGACGTCATCGTTGGGTCTGTGATGTCATTGTTGGGGTTGTGACGTCATCGTTGGGGCTGTGATGTCATCGTTGGGGCTGTGACGTCATCGTTGGGGTGTGATGTCATCGTTGGGGCTGTGACGTCATCGTTGGGGTGTGATGTCATCGTTGGGGCTGTGACGTCATCGTTGGGGTGTGATGTCACCTCTCTCCTCCCCCCACCCCCCAGGGCCCCTCTTCAACTTCGACGTCCACGACGACGTCCGGCTGCTGAGCGACGCCACCGTGGAGAAGGACGAGGTACGGACCAGTACAGACCAGTATGGACCAGTATAGACCAGTACGGACCGGTCCAGACCCGTCCCTCCCAGTTCCCCCCCCAGTACCCCATTGATGATGTCACAGACTCATCAATGACGTCACAGCCCTGATGATGTCACACCTTTACTGATGATGTCACTCTCATTGCTGACGTCATCGCCCTTCCACAATCCCTGTCTCCCGTTCATGACGTCACTTCCCCATGGTGACGTCATCACCGCTGGTGACGTCACTCCTGGGCAATGACATCATCCCCTGCTGGGTGCTGACGTCACTGCCCCGCCGCTGACGTCACTCCCATATGACATCACCCCTGACCGATCGATGACGTCACTGCCCCGTCGATGACATCACTGCCCCGCCGCTGACGTCACTCCTCTGCGACCTCACTCCTTGATGGATGACGTCACTGCCCCGTCGGTGACGTCACAGTCGCACGCGGGGAAGGTGGTGCTGCGCTCGTGGTACGAGAAGAACAAACACATCTTCCCCGCGAGCCGCTGGGAGCCGTTCGACCCCGAGAAACGCTGGGACAAATACACCGTGAGAGGGGGAGGGGAACAGCCGGGAACAGCGGGAATGTCTGGGAATGTCCCTGGGAACAGCCGGGAACAGCGGGAATGTCCCTGGGAACAACCGGGAATGTCCATGGGAACAGCCGGGAACAGCCGGGAATGTCTGGGAATGTCCCTGGGAATGTCTGGGAATGTCTGGGAATGTCCCTGGGAATGTCTGGGAATGTCCCTGGGACACCCCTGGGATGTTCCTGAAACCCCCCCGGGACCCCTGAACATCCCCAAAACCTCCCGGACCCTCCCCGAGACCCCGAATTCCCCTGGGGCCCCCCAAAACCCCCCCAAAACCCCCCCAAAACCCCCCCAAAACCCCCCCGGGCCCAGAGCTGGGATAAATGGGGGGAGGGGCGGGGGTGGGAGTGGGGGAGGG